ATTAATATTATTATTACCGCTGCTGTTCTACGTTTTTGCAATGTTAATAATGATGTGTTGCCATTGGCGTTGACTAGTTTATAACGACTAAATAAAGTTTTCGATAACAGTTTTTTGCAACTATAAAAAAGGTACCTTGAATGCCACTATTGTATTAAAAAAGAGATTTTCATTGAACTTTCCGTTCACAATAGTATTAGCTCCTACTGCCAACATACAAAGTGTTGTTAGTAGGCCTCCAGCATGAAAGTACGGTAGGACGCCATAGACTACATCATCTTGGTCTATCTGTGGCAGTTGATACTTCCCATGACTGATTCGTGGTGCGGTCCTAAATAACGTCAAATAAATAATCTGGTTTCTATTCCCGCTACATTAGTTCATTCCACTCAAGATTATTTTTACCTGGCAGTTTTGACAGTCGATATCAACTGTTTATTCCCAATTACTACTGCTTTTGGGGGTCCTGATGTGCCAGACGAGTAAAATATAAAGGCCTAAATAAGTTTTGTCACGTTTTGCACTAATGGGGACATGAAGGTTCTAAGTGGGAACAGTATGGAGTTGTTATTTGTTGTAGGAATTAAGTTATGTAAGATAATTATCTCAACCCCTTTGGCAAACTGGTATGGTTGTTGCAGTTTGCATTCTGGTAATGCATTCAAGTATTCTAGCAGCCCATAATACCGTATTGTCGTATCTGAGGCATCTAACACAATGAAAACCTAAACAGAAACCACTGCGATGAAGGATTTGCTAAACTGATTCATGTGCCGTCTTCAAGTACAAATTTATCAAGAAAGAGTTGTTCTCAAGGTGCCTTAGGTGCTGGACGATATCTTGAAAGTAATTCAAAAAAATTACTGCTTCACTTCTACTCAGTTTGGTTGTACAAAGTTTGTCAAAGTATTGTAACTCGGTTAAGACCCAATGGACATTAGCTTGCAAAAAGTACTTGTCGATTTCATCTGAAAATTGCAATCAATTTATTAGAATATTTAGAAATGTTGACTCTCGGTAAGGAAAGTAGCTTTTGATGCGGTAAACGATTTTATACATTTAAAAACTGCTGACTTGATGTGTACGCGGGATTTAAAGGAAGGACAGCAGACCCTAAACCGAGAGCCGCAAGGCAGAAGATGATGAACTCTGTTGAATTTCCACATAAGGTGCCAATAACTTCTCCTTTCTGGATTCCAATCCTCCGAAGTGCGTCTAACATCTCTACAACAGCACGGACAAATTGTTCGTAATTTAAGCAAACTCCGGTATCAGGATCCGTCTGAAAATACTTCGAAAAACTTTTACTTGCTGACATGCTATAGAATGAAGTCTTGTTACCAAATGGAAGAACACTGACGTAGGCTGGATGCGCGAGGAAACTTTTAATTTACATTGCGGCTAGTAAAGAATGTAACGTGAAAATACATTTGGAATGTCATCCGAACTGAGTTTTAGTTCGCTGATTGAGATATTTACTGTTGATACTACTCTGGCATATAATTTCTCTAATCGTTCTTGCTTTTGAATATTTACAAAAAGTTTTTTTCTTTTAACATTATCCATGTAGTTAAAGTCTTTTGTATTAAGGAAATCAGTGAAATAGTGCTCAAAAGGCTTGAAAAATTTGGGTTTTCTATACGACTTTAATCACCGTATCTAATAGTGCCTTTCTGTTACATTAAATACTATTGAGCGCAAAAATAAGCATAAAAAAGTTCTGCTGATACAGAAAAGCAAGTTTGCTAGAATAAGAATTTTACCAGAGCCCGGCAATCTTTGAATTGCTTGATAAGTCCCAGGAAATAGGAACAGAACGATTCATCTTCAGATACATTTGAAGCTCTAAAACTATTAGCAGTGATGTGGTCTTCGTCATATAAGTTACAGATGGCATCATGACTGGTGGGTACATGGAGAGGTCGTTCTCTGTCCATCAGATAGTATTGTTTTGATTGCTAAAATTTCGTTAATCCCATTTAGGAGCAGTAAACGTTTGAACAGTGCTGCATTTTAGAAAACAATGCCGTAATTGCTGTCTTTATTAGTTGCATTTAAGGACAATAAACATCTTCCACAGATCAGCTATTATTAGAGCCAATTGAATTTCACTTTAACCTTTTATTGCCTTCGCATCGTCATAGCTACTGACAAGCAAAAGGTCTCGAACAACAATCATCATTGTTCAGTGACCACTTGAAAAATTGAGAACGCACGATCGCGATAAAAGAACTATTTAGCTCTTCTGTCGGCCAAGCTAATTAAAATTTAGCGACAGGCTCTGTTGATTAAGATACATATTTAGGCGCATAAATAGAATCATTATTTCTGAAGAAAAAAAAATCGAAAATTAAAAATTACTTCTCACTTCTAGTAGGGTATTCCTCAAATCGGTAACTCATGAATCATATATGTTCTTTTTTTTCTGAATCAAATATCTTCCCTCTCAGCTGAAAAATTTATTGCAAATGTCAAAAAATAAGAGGAATAATGGAATCAAAAATTGAGAACTCTGAAACATCTCTAGCGTTACGCGTAGCCAGTTACCAAACGGAATTGTCAACTGATTATGCTGTTAAATATGAACCGCAGAGATCCACCTGACTTTGACTAAACGGTCAACAGTCATCGATTGTAAATCCCCTCAACGGAACCTTGAATAAGGAATACTTAATTAAAATGCCCAATATATCAAGCGCATAAAACACGTAAAGGAAAAGTAATTTAAAATTTTTTTTATTTATGAAAAAGTTTGAAGAAATAATTCAGGTTTTCAGAATCGCAGAAGAGAAGTCTTCTGGTAAACTATTTCAGCGAACCGTATGCATGCAGT